CTATTGGCCGCACGAGCAAACGTTTATCTGAATGAATCCGCTAGCACCACCCGACCCGGCTTAAGAGTGGAGTGATTAGGACCATCAACAGCTCAATCGTTTCAAATCTAGTGGAGTCAAACTACATGACTGATGTGGCCAAGGCGTTTCAACCCATCTACTTAGTTCGCAATCGTCGGTCTAAGGGGATTAGCAGTCACATTCTGATCACAGCCGAGGCGATCGGGATCCACCTACATAATTCCCCCCCACCCCCCCACTCAGGCTCCCAAACACAATTCGTAAGAACACACTCGGTCTTCTTTGGTCAGCGCCACACACGATACAGTCATCCCCCACGCACCCATAAAGACTCGAATCAATGCATATGTGTGTGATGATCTAAGTGTGAGCAACATCCGATCATGTGTACTGGAATGTGGATTCTGTCTCTTCTAGTTTTGTCATGTTTTCTCCCTCCTACTAAACGTTTTGACATAAATTGTGATATATATATATATATATATATATATATATATATGGATCAACGTAAACGAGCTTGTTCGCTACTCTGCATTTTCTTACAATGTGTAATAATGGTATGATCGGACAACATTAACATTTATAAGGAATAAAATGTTTCAAAATTCTTTGACCTCAGAATACTCTGATACTTCGTGATCTTATCTCCTCTACAACGGTATAACTAATGTTTGCGCGTAGAGACTAAATGATTGGGGCTTTTGGCTAAACCTTGATAGGAAAAGGTCTATAGTCCGGGATTTACCTCTATCATAACTTTCAGGTAATCTACCAGTTGGATTACTCATGAGTAGGTACACACTTATTTTGCATTTAACGGCCTGATCGTATTGATCAGCATCAGAATTAAAAATAGTAGTTTACAAAGTTTACTCAATAGTTCAAGAGCTAACGAATTAGTTAGAGGAGGTTGTCAAATTTAGGCTTAGGATCGATGTAAAATTTGTGATTATGGATCAAACACTCCGTGAAATTGAACGCAGTTTCTCCATGTGAGGACATTTTAAATGAAGACCACGATGGACGATCATGCAACTCACGCGAGATTCACACCGGGCTCTTCGTCCGCCTCGGAGCTTGGGCAAACCGAGTCGACCAGAGCGCGACACTGTTGTGAATAGTCTACGGCACAATCGATCTCGTCCAGCAGCAAACGTATATCGTCACTTTCAATGATACCGGTCTCACGAAACCAGTGGAACCGGCCACCGGTACAGTTTGCAATCGATCTGAGATTGTGCGGAAACGAAGCGAACAAAGTGATTTCGTAATGTCTCCGTAGGACTTAACGACAAGGAAAATAAGGCTAAAGATGATAATCGCCAAAACTGATACGTGGTATGCATATATATATATATATATATTTCACACACATCTGTTGCTAAACTGTGTCAAACAAATCACGGTACAATAATCTTTATAAAAGGAAAACAGTTCGATGATTTTCATGTGGGCGGAATACTGCCAGGTCGCCCAGGCCAAGTTAAAGGAATTTTCTTACGAAATTCACAACCGAACCTTTCAGCTAACCAAAGCCAACCCCTAAGACAGCGGGACAATGTGTGAAAACCGTAATCCATTGGGGGCCGATGTTCAGTCCATCGGATCACACGCCCTTCGGTTGGGGGTCAAACGCCCAAGGTGGCCAATCGAGCCGGTGTCCACAGCCACAACCAGAAAGGTATGTGTGTGTGTAGTTCGCACACCTCGGTTGATTTGGAATCAGAAATTTTTGCCAACTCCTCTAGATGAACTGCCAGCGGTTCACCGACTCGGCTACCTCCCCGGATGTTGCCTTTCACAAGTCTGGCAGTACAACCAGATAGTCAGTGTTGATGTGAGAGTTTTGAGCGGTAGCAACGGAGTGCAAAAAGGCCGATAATCAAGCATTTTACAGATTGCAGCGTCTCAGAGACGTGTGACAGGGTGGGTAGGGTTGGTGTTCGATATGTTTTTAACGTAGATATAGACTGGAATCAGGTCAATAAGTGATCAGTGAAATTGTAAAAGCCTTACACAAATCACTTGATCAATTCTGGGTCGAGTTAAATTTCCCGGTTGTAAATCTCTTAATTGATTTATTCGGCGAATGGGAAGGCTATAAGACAAGGGCAAG